TGTAATATGTCAGTATGGGTAAATTTTCACTCAGCACATTTCACAAAATATCACGTACGAGATGGAATTCCTATAAGATGGCTTTTGTAGTCAATATACAGGATAATTACAGATTTCCATTAAAGGAACTGATAAGTTGACACTACTTTGTTGTGAATAGCCAAACACGGAATACAATTTCAAGCCATTTCACAGCAGAAATAAATGCATATAGTCGTTGTTCAAGGTCGTTTAGCTTTTTCTAAACATAGCAAATATGAAACTTCCAGAAAACACTGTCGTTCCTTGGAGAATAAGTCATACAAAAAGATAACACATGAATCCTTCAGTTTCAGTATTTTTTCTGCACATTTGTAACCAGTTGCCCGTCAGCGACCTCTAGGGACTTAATTACGTAAATTCATCGCTGTCCATATCTCGGAGTGTTAGGGCTGGCAAACCTTAAAATCTGGTAATGAAGGGAAAATAAGCTCCGCTTCGTTTTCTAGTCGTTTTATATTGTTACAATAAGAACTATGGCTTATTTCATCTACTTTAACCGCGTCTGTGATACCGTAAACTGTTATTCTGGCTCTGGATGTGATGTTCATAAAAAGCATTTGTAACATTGGAGAGAGTACTAAAACTAGGAGACAATTAAAATAAAAAGTATTTAAACTCTTAGATATCCAAAAAATCGTTAGTAAATCCTCGAAGGCACGAATTATGTAACAATATGATTTCAATAGATTTTAAATTAATAACATACAATAGTATCCATCAAACAATCACTATAACCCACCATAATGACGAACAACCCTATGCTAAAGATATAGTTTAATGGCGGCCCGCGTTTTGTCTCGTATTTACAGTATTGTGTCAAAGTCGACGTTTGGCGGCACTTTGCCGGTCCTTGTTAGTTCGGACTCTAGGGTAAACGCTCTGGTTGGGCATCGAATTGTAATCACTCGTATTGTTACTCAAACGCTGTTACAAATTGGATACGCTTATGCCAAAACATATCAAATGGTTTATTTTTAGTGTCGCCATCAAGAAGTAGTAGTGAGCACTAAAACCAAGTCCATTTTGATACATACTACTTGAACATTCTATACTGTTAGCAACATGCTAGTCATTGATTTGACAGGAGATTATCAATTTCTAGTGACAATAGCAAAGCCATTACGAAGCTATTATATGAGAAATAGTCGATTACACGACCAGTCTCCACCAATATCGATATAATTACAAGCAGACGCAGGTCTCGTGTGACAGCATTGATCATAATGAGCATGTGTATAATATTCGATTACAGATCCATTCCATTTCTCTCTCCTTCTCTCTCTTTCTTCATCTTCCCTCTGGGTATCCACATTATCACTTTGTATCATTCATGTTCCCATTGGGAATTACCAATATAGCCATGTCTAAATGTGCTTTGAATATACAAATGTAACTGTATCACTCAGACGGTAACACAATCCATATCGGTGTATTGGTTCATGAAAGTACCACCTTCGATGCGGTACTAATTAAATTTTGAACTCCATTCAGTGTGCTCGACATGGCTCAAGAATTCAAGGTGCATTCAAGAGCTCCTTTGGTATTGTGTGATGCTGTGTGGGTGAATAGTGGCGAGGGTATATCTTAACTGATGAAGGTAGTAACAATTTGTTCGTCTGTGTAAAATAGAACTTACTAATGTTACATACTTTAGTTTACTCAAATGTGCTAAAGTTGAGATGAGTATGCCTATCTAACTTGTACCGTATAAATAAATGGTACATACCAGATTCAATGGAAAATTAAATATACCTATGTAATGTTTTGCTATTCGTCAAAATTATTATTCAGCTTTTCCAATCGGGGTTTTATATAAAAATATCATTCAAAAATAAGATTTAACAGACGCTATGTTTTTTTTTTAATTCAGGGTAAAAATATTTTTCGTTATTCATCCGATTGGGGATTGATTTCTCCGTGTATTTTTATAAAATACATTTTCGTTTGTTTTTACGAATATGTTGTAACTTGTATCATTTAAAATTAATTTTGGAATTAAATATTTTATAACAATGTAAACAACTTGACTGTAATATATTTTGTAAAATGTTGATATTAAGAGAGTTAAATTGTTTTATTCCTCTATGAATATAAGACGGTGGACTACCATTAATTTTTCCTTATTTTCTTTGCTTTCTGCTTGACGTCATTAATCCTGGTTTGTCCCAGCACTCGCCTCTCTACTTAGCGTTTTCTACTATCTAGGAGCATTTTAAATGTTTTAAAAAGAAAGGACTGGTTTTGCAATAATAGAATGGTCTTATTTAATAGAAGATTGAGTATGATAAAATAATTAAACTATGTACCTGAAGCATTGTATTGTGAACCCGATTGAAAAAGAGTAACCTATGAAGATTCTTGCTCGTACTTCTCCATAGGAATCTACATCTTAGAATGAGCAAATAGCTTCACTAGAGGACTGACCTGACTGACTGACAGACTGAGACTTTTATAATGATTTTGACTTACACTCTTTGGACAGTAAATTAAAATTAAAAATAGCTCCAATATTTCTTGTTACTTTTTTTTGTTATTATTTCAAGTATAGAGAATGATATGTATTGGTGGCTCAGATATTTAAGATGTCCCTTTCTCAGACACGAAGTCATGGGTCGAAACCTACCAACGGCAAATACCAATATGACTTTTCCGAGCTATATATACTTTCTAAGATTATCTAGACACCACTGACAAGCGGTGAAGGAAAACATTGTGAGGAACCTTTGGCTTTTAATTTCTAATTATAAAAATCGCCAACCCGCATTGAGCAAGCGTGGTGACTATTGTTCAAACCTTCTTCGTGTGAGAATGGGCCTTTTGTCAGCAGTGGCTACTTATAGGCTGTTAATGTTTGATGATGTGATAAAGAATAAATAATATTATTTTATCCTTTCCATTTTTGTCACATAAACAAAGTCACTTTATCGACTGCGAATTTCACAGAAACTTCATATAGGTGGAGTCATTCCAATAACTTACAAAATAATGGTAGATTTTTACTACTTCAACGAATTCGATTTAAACTAGAATTGGAGAGAATTGAGTTAAATTTCTCGAATTTAGTATTACCAGGCATCTAGACTAGAGACGCACTGAATAGATTAACACTAGATCTCTGGTGGGATGCTGCAGTTCAGTAATTGGAAACGGAATGCTGCTCAGTGCTTAGTGACCTGAAATTTGATTTTAGTAGGTATAGTACTACATTTATGTCTTTGTGAATTTATTAGCTAACTGCACAGTTACGCACTTGCTTGTAATTGTAATGTTTTTGTTAATAACCTAATTAATATACTTTACCTTTTACTACACAATGTTTTTTGTAACTAATGTTATGTAGTAATATTCAGTAAAAGGTATAAGTATAGAGGAGATGTATATAAAATAAATTTTATGACACGTTT